CCAACACTCCAATCCGTTTGAGACTACCGTTAGTTCTGTATATTTAAGTCCGTTCTGAATGTAGGCCCTTACTGTACCTCTTCTTACTGATTCATTAATCCCTCTAGTGGTTTATTTATTAATAAATAGCCTGGAATATTGTTATAATTAAACCAAGCCTCGGTAGTAGTAGCATGTGTAGTTTAAAGAAAAGCATGGTTTTAAGAAATTCATCACTGCCAGTGTTTAAACATATTTTAACTAGTTAAGATGACTACAAAAATATTGTGCGTAGATACTAGAACAACGTAAACAGATACAATAAATTTGTTTTCAAGAGTAAAATTCAAGTATACCGGATAATAGTTCTATATTAAATGTGACTTTGGGATTTATTTCCGAAATGTCATAAATTTTGTCTGAGAGAAAACTGCGTAAGACGAAAATCGATCATTGAAATATTTGAGTAACATTAATAAAATATATCTCAATAAAACACTTTAATTTTAGATTTACTACCAAAATATATAGTAAATTTAAAAATATTCTATTACTCTACTGATTACAAAATCACGTTACATTTAAATTTATAAAATATAAAAATACAGCAAAAGCAATGAATTGAAGTTTTAAAAAATACTATTTAATTTAATGCAGTAATCTGACGTAACCATCCAACTAAAATGGTCCAATAATGTATGTATATCATTAATAATAATAGTATTGTATCGATTGTAAGGAATCACTTGAATTGATAGATAACTAAAACATTATATAAAATTAATTACCTTATTTCTGAACAAGCCACAGTCCAACGATCTGCCACTTGGCCCGTTTTACAGATATTTGCATAGGATAAGTTATAAGATTATTGTTATTATAGGTTCATGTTATGTGATACAGTTGGTTATTTCTTTTCCAAAATAAAATAATTATGGAACACAAAGAAAAACAAGCAAATTTAACAAAAATGACTTGTTAAATTTTTTACTTTTGCTTTTATATGTACATATATATACTTTACTGTAAAATAGTTGAAACGTCAACTGAAATAATAAAATAAATATGGGAGTAAATTCTTGAAAAAGACTACTTTTTATGTCAATATATTTACACTAAAATCTTAGATATCATGGTCGCTATATCAGTGATGTTCAAAGATTTAAGATATTCAAATTAGTTAAAAAAATACGCTCATAACTCAGAAACTAACTATGCTTATAACTTATAATCATCTTATTAAATAGCAATCGTCTATTTTTAGTACATTAGTAATAACGCTGAGTGCACGCCTCACACTCACACTATTATAACTCCAGATAAAATAATTGCTTCTCCATATATTAAGTAATTATATTGTTGAAGTTAAGATTTACCTAAGTGGCCTAGAAGAAGTTTGAATAAAATATTAAGGAACGATTTAAATTAAGAAATTAATATTAAGTCCTTGATTTCATTAGAAGATAAGTTATAATAACTATAAACCAAAAAATATTTTAAAATAAAAGAAAATTGTGTATAAATATTTTTATGGGACACTTAAAGAAATGGACTTAACCCAATTATGACATTTTGTCAGTAATGTTTATTGTCTTAACAAATTAAACTCTCGATAATTAATTTATTTAACTACTTTTTTATTGACGCCAAAATCAGCGGATGGTTAAGTGTCGTATATGAAATGAATAAATGTCTCCATAAACTTAGAATTTAATAGCTTGTTAAAAATTATTTTAAGACGTCTACAATCTCCAAATTTCATATATAAATTAGCTTTTATGTTTTACGTTCTTAGTGTGAGGCTGGCGTTAACTTAAATAATTTATATTTGTATTTAACAGAAAAATAATTGAGTACTTAATAAATTTTACTGCTTTAGCTCTTCAAAGCTTAATAAAATTAGTGTATTGTAATACAAGATAAAGTATAGTTTTTCATTCAAAACTTCTTCATAAATTCTTGACCAATTCCTTATTTGGAATCAAAGACACCATAACACTTTAAGTGATAAGGTGTCTTTTAAATAACATACGTCAATATGTTATAAATAATATTGTACCAAATAACACCTGATAAGGATATTAATAGTCGCTTTCATTAGAAGTTAAATTATTAAACATATACATCATCATCCTCAGTCTATCAGAGCCTACTGCTGAGCAAAGTTCTCTTTCTCACGTGGAGAAGGTATGAGCAATATGAGCATTAATCACCACCCTTGATCAAAACGGGTTAGTGATTACAAACTTATAATTGTGAAACGATAAGTCCAGGGTTCCTCACGATTTTTTCCTTCACCGTATGTCGGTGGTGTCTAAATACTCTCAGAAAGTACATATGACTCCGAAAAATCATATTGGTACTTGCCAGGTTTGATCCCGCGCCCGGCAATGAGAGGCGGGCCCTTTAACCACTAGGCCACCACTTACTTACAAGGCCACTACTTGCTTATTAAACATATACATAGAAATACAATTTTGTTACCTTATATTGTCGGTTTTATATCTTAAGCAGCTAATTTTGACCTTTTTGCTAGTTCTCATCGAAATATTTAGAGTACTCACTTTTGTTCAGAAAATTATAATTTAAAATTCTTTGAGTTTATACAATTTGATTTTTTCATCTCCAAACGGTATGAAGGTCGTAAGTAAAGTAAGTTTTTGATCATATTATTTGACTTGAATAAGTGATACAAAGATGTGAAATATCTTCAAGAACATCTGTAGTATATCACTTTAAATACCAATTGTTGCTGACTCCTGTGGATTTGTTATAAAAAGGATTTGTAATCTTGTCAAGAGTTTAGCTGCATTCAGAAAATAAGTTCCATAGCCTACAACAAAAACATCTTTTAGTAATAAAGTAATTGAAAGTGTGACAAAGTGACTTAAACCTTAAAGCAGGACATGACCAAAGGTATTCTGAGCTAAGTGTAATATTGGTAAAGTTATTATTTACAGAGTAACTTCTCTGTTCATGATATTTGACAGCTTAGTGATACTAATCACATATTTAATCGTTGCTATATTTTGCATAAAAATACTTCAGACATAATATAATAAGCTTATAGCAGAGTATTGGTAATTTTTGAAGTCATGTTTGTTAAGAAGTAAGTGCTTAGGTAAACAAACTTTTCATATCCATCATTCGCTGTAAATGAAAGCAAGTATCCGTTATATTTAATTTAAAGCAAGTATTCGTAAATTGATCGACTACACAAGCTATACAACGTCATACTAACAAAAATTTAAAGAAGACTTCTTAAACTTAAGTTCTAAAATGTTAGATATGTACATACATATCTCTGAAAGATTTGACACTCGTCTTGCTACTTGTATAAAAACTCCGAAACCTCGTACGTCTTTCACAAAGTTCTATTCTCTAAAGCATATCAAGGTATCATCATTTATAAACTGACACTTTACTAACCAAAAACTTAAGAACTTTTGACGGTTTTTTACCTTAAGAAGAACAGTGGAATAAACCACGCCTGTTATTTAATTTGCTTTAAACTATATCATCATGTTATATAAAGTTTATTATCGATTATCACTTGTTTAGAGCTAAATCGGATTTAAAATATTTTCTTTCACAATCTATATTAATAAAGAGGAAAGATTTGTTTGTTTATTTGTAATGAATAGGCTCCGAAACTACTGGACCGATTTCAAAAATTCTTTCACCTTTGGAAAGCTACATTATTCCCAAGTAACATACTCTATATTATATTTTTAAAAAATAAGGAATCCTTACTAAAACTCCAATAATGTAAACCAAGGTGTAAAAAAATGACCTGAAAAATTCCCTATTTCACGTGCGCTGCGAAAACTATTGATGATAGAACAAAATCATTTACTACGAATTTGCAGAACTCATCATTATCTACAAAAAGTGTCGCGACAGCATATGTCTAAATATTATAGTTATGTCACAGTAAGCGGTTTTTTATTCTAAAAATTTAATTTATATGCCAACGCTTGAAAAGGCTCTTTGTTTGTACCTTGGTATTAATCCTTATCAAAATAAATTACTTTATGTTCAAGACGGCTTCAATACCTTTTTATAACTTTTTGAATTATTCAATTCGGACATTTCATTCGGAAGATATCACGAGTTTAAAAATGCAAGTACATATTAGAAAAAAGTCGCGTGGTTGCCGCTCACCGCGCTCAGCTAGCCAGCATGCGATGTAGGCTCCGTGTAAGCGTCACAGGGGAACGGGGGGGGGGGGAGTCAATCCCAACTAATACTATAAATGCGAAAGTAACTCTGTCTGTTTGTCTGTCTGTCTGTCTGTTTCGCTTATATATATATATATATAATATATATTATATTATATATATATATATATATATATATATATATAGGTATATACATAATATATATATGTATTTATATTGAGTATAAAAATCATACCTAAATATTAATTTAAAATATTCAATAATTTATATGGAAGTTACCAACCCTATAAATGAGGGGGAATAAAACTAATTTGCATCTCCCTAAGATGAGATCATGACGTTATTGAATTGAATTGCACGGTTAAGAGCGATGATTATGACTTGTCAACCAGCGACATCTTTGATGAGTTAAAAATTAAAACTTTATTTTACCATTCGCTTGTATTTTGTTGGAGCTCTCAGAAAAAACATACTAAAACAGTAAAGTGTACAATATGTGACTTCGATTTAGAGGTGGGTCGTTGACGATTTTACAGTCGACGCAACGAGACCGTTTACCGTCGACGATAAACTAGTTTAAAAAACAGTCTAATTTTACGACTAATTTACGTCGTCATCGAAAAGACTACTTCATCACATAAACGATAACATACGTCGTCGTTTAGTAAACGAGATTATTGAGAATGAAATGACATATTGTTGAAATGAACTTCCCTTCGTACTTTTTCCAGGCTTAGGACTGGCAAGCTTATTGTGCATACTTATATTTAAATTAGTATGTAATAAACTTGGCGTATTTAAAAGTTAATTTCATTATATGTACATTTTCATTCATAATAATCAACTATGAACATTAATCAAATTATGAGTTTAATATTTACAAGTAGATATTTACAATTTTTTTTTGGTTTTTAAATTTTTATATTTTATGAATTTTTTTTCTTTTTTTTGGGTTTTTAATTTTTTTTGTATTTTTAATAATAATTTTGAAATCTTTGTTCACTCAAATTGATATTGAGAAACATTATTTTTTCCACTTTTCGTGTAGTTAATCTGGTTCTTCTACAATTTATTAATAATCCGGACTTTGAAAACATGCGTTCGCAAGGAACGGATGTTGCGACAATGTTGCAGTTCTGAATAAATAATTTTAATAAATTCGGATACACATGGCGGTGATTTTTCCACCACACAAAAGGACTGTTCCATTCACCGCTGGCATTTCTACGAAGCAGTATGTCGTCCGCTAGGTACATGTCTACCTCTTTAATTGCTTTAGAAAGTGGTGTAGCACTGGATTCATTTTGATTTATTAAACCATCGAAAATATCCCATGGACTGTAGTCGTCAGTCTTTTTTTCTGTGGAAGATTTGGATGGTGTAGGATTTGTTTGATGTTTTGCAATTTGAGCTGCTACAAGTTTTCTGACCCGTTCTTTTGTTTTTGCAGCCTCGTTTGTGTCAGAAAACGCTTGTGTTTTAAAACGAGGGTCCAAGAAGGTGTTCAAGGCTAAGGTACCGCTCTGTTCTACTCTTTGGAACCGTTCTTCTAGGCCTAACTGAAGATTAAAGGCAACGTCACGAACTGAACTTACAAATTCGGTGTTGCCTAAAATTTTTTTGCACGATTCTTTGAGGCAACGTACCATGATAATTACAGAACTGCCTGTTAAATATTTTTCTCCGCTCATTGCCTTCGTCATTTCTTCGAAAGGACGTAAAATTTGACAAAGTTGGGCGCAAGTCGTCCAGTCTTCGCTTGAAAGTAAAGGAAGATTTCTGTCAACAAGCGCTAATGTTGATCGCACTGCATCTTGCAACTCTACAATCCTCTCGATCATATAGAACACGGAATTCCATCTAGTTTCGACCTGTTGTATGAGGCGTTTAGGTTGTAGATTTTGTTGGATTTGGTACTTAGCCAGTCGCTCTGACGATACTGTGCTTCTTTTAAAATGAGCTACAATTTTTTTTATGTTATCAATTAAGCCCTGCTGTAGTTCTAGGGCGTCGTCTACTATCAAATTTAGCGTGTGCGCGAAACAGCCAAAATGCTCAATGCCGAGATGTTCCTTAATTCCTTTAACTACATTGGCAGCATTGTCACTCACTGCGAAATTTACTTTCTCTTTTAAATTCCACCTGTTCAAAATAATTTCTAGCTCAGATGCTATATTTAAAGCTGTGTGGCTCCCAGAAAACCTACAACAACCTAACAAAACAGTTTTCAATTCCAAATCCTGTGTTATGTAGTGTCCTGTGACAGCGATGTAACTCTCCGTAACACGTGAGGTCCACAAGTCTGTTGTTATACAAATGGTTTCTACTTCTTGAGCTACTACAGATCTAACATGATTCTCTACTTTATTGTAACATTCTTCCAATAAAGACCCGGACAACGTTTTTCTTGTAGGTAATGTATACCCCGGAATCCATCGACAGAACTTTTTAAAAGCTCGTTCCTCTACAATTGAAAACGGATGGAACGAGTCTATGCATAGATCAAGTAAATCAGAGTCAATTTGTTTTTTTTGCTCGACGCTTATTTTTTTATTGATAAATGAGTCCATCACTTTTTGACGTTTAGTTGGAGGCGGTGCCGTCGGTGCGAGTGACGAGTGACTAACCACCGAAGAACCCGATGTTCCTGGAATGGGTTCCACTTGCTTCCTTGACCGATTTTCATCCTGGTCAGGTTGTTTTTGTGTGGAACTGGATTGGTCATTAGCACCGAACACTGATAAATAAGTCGACGGATGTTTTCGCCTCAAATGGCTTTTTAAATTGGCAGATGATGATTTGTAACTTAACACATCCTTACACTCGTTACACGTAGCTTTTAATGTTTGAGTGTCTTTATTAAAGTGATGCCAAATTACACTAGTGTTTTTACGAACTGACATATTTAAAGTCACTACACTAATTTACTATTTACAACACAATTATGAAGTTTATGATAATTATTTAGATATGTATTTATATACACTTTATAGTTTATATATACACTTTATGTACGTCTATTTTACACACTTAATATTTACAACACAAGCACAAACAGAATTATCAAGTTTTTAACACAATTATACACTTTAGGATGAAAACAAACGAAATATCAATCGAATTGCATTATTGCATAAATTTCGTCCACCGCGCGACGACGCAACATTTCAAATTTCCAACAACAACTAATTTATTAAACTATAGACTACTAAAACAAACAAAATTCGCAACTTTTATTTCTTATTCTTATTATGATAGAGACGTTTCTCGTGTAGCGCTCCCACCAAAACGTCACAGGTTGAGCACGTGCCGAAAAAGAAAGAGATAGTCAATTAGTAAAACAAGCGAGCGTACAGAAAGCGGTCTATTCAGTTGGTGTCGCGACTCCTCGCTCGCGTCGGCAATGTTCGGGTTCACTCGGTCCGTTCACAACGGACTCGTCAACCAGTCGACGAATAAACTAGTTTATCTGTGAACTATAAACTAGTTTTATCGTTCACGTACAAAAAACAGTTTAGGTAAACGGTTCGTTCATACAACGCCCACCTCTACTTCGATTTAAAATTTTGAACATACCTTATTTTAGTCGGTCAAAGTATTGTAATTACTTTTTATACAATAATTCCGTCTTATTCATTTTATTTTGTTCCTATTCCCTTGGTGTTTAATAATAATTTAATTAATAAAAAGAGAATTATATTAACTGAGTACATTTATATCATTTTAAAATAAGGTAATTTACATTATTCAGTACGACCTTTTTCAAATTCTATGTCTTTGTAGACCGGTGTATTGATAAGCCAAAGTATTGCCTTATTAAACTCAAGGTTATCATTAATAATTTTTTTTAATATCTCTTTGCCGTACATAAAAGCTTTCATTAAAGTCTTCATTCCGCCAAATGAAATGAACTCAGGCGACTCAAGAGTCCCTTAGTGTTATATTTACTTTGATAGAATTAGTGATTATTTTAATAACGTTATATTATTAAAAATTTTAGCACATTACGTAATATTTTATATTACTTATAGTGTAACATAATAATTCAAGATAAGCACAAATAATATTACGATGATCATGGTTTCTTTTTAAGATAGAAGATCGATGACAATTCTCATCTCGTCTGCCCGTGACCACGCGTGTATAGTGTTAAACATTATTATAAACGCGGAGTAAATCTGAAAAATATTTGTTTTATTTCATTGAATACTCACGAAAATCTTAGATGTCATTAAGATCTAAATATTTTAACTTGTGAGATAAATTCATGCGTATCTTGTTATCAACATAAAACTATGGCAATGCAATTAAGTGATTTAATTCTTTTTAAATAACACCAACATTATTATCAATACATAACATATCAGTAATTATTAGAATTAGTATATTTCTGTTTAAATGTTAACTCATAAATTAAATGAAACCGTGGGACAGGATAACAAAAAATACCTTTTATAGTTATTCAAAATATAAAAATATCAGTATGTTCATTTGAGAAACAATTTTATACAAATAAGTTAAAACGATAATTTTCTTAAGTATCAAAGCTATCAATAAACAACGAATACTTGGGGATAATATTATTTATTGGGCTTATACGAGTCACTGAACTTGTCAATATGTTGTTTAAAATATTATTTTCTAATATATATTTATATATTTATTTTTAAATTGTTTTTCCAATATATTATCGTTTTTTCTGCTAAGCTTTATGTTGCGAATTCCATTTGCTTGAAGAGATGTTTTATGCCTAGTAATACAAATCTTCGTTATTCTTAACAATAATTCCTTATATTTTATCAATTTTCATTACGTCAAAGATAAAATTAATTATTACAAATTTAATTTTGTAATCAAATGTGTGACTGTAATGGAATATATGTATAATAAATATAATTGTCAGAATAAATGTTACCGTCGGAAATACAAAGAGAGAACCACGAATTGGTTGTTGAAAAATCACAAATATAAAAGACAATTTGCTTAATAAGAATAGAAATAAACAACATTTAAGTTGAAAAGGAAGGTGACGGAATAAAAACTGTATTTGCAGAAGTCTGGTGACAGTGAATTCATACCTTTGCCTAGTAATAATAAGTAAAAACTTGTAATTTTCATTTATAAATTATGCTGGTAAATATTATTATTGGTCTTTAGGATTTTTTAATGCTTTCCAAGAAACAAACTCGGTAGAATATTTATAATTAATAAATAAAAACTAATAAAGAGACAAACTTTCTGAAAATTACTTTCCTAATTTAGTCTTTAGTAGAATTTAAATTTCTGCTTTAGTAAACACACATTTTACATTACTAAAACATAAATGATCTGCAATAATTTTTTTTCTTGGGCAGCATTTTGGCTTCACTCGATTCAATTTAATTTTTTCTGGTCCGATTAAAACTTTTGTGCCCGCCTTTACCGTTTTTTGTTCCAACACACTGCATCGGCCCTGCTGGCATTTCACGATTTTTAAATATCTTTGCAAACTATTCTACAAAACTACTGATGTAACTGCCAGAATTATAGTCAGTAAATTATTTACAAGTTAAATATTTTTTTACTCCAAATATTTTAAAACTATTAAAACGTTTCAATAACAGTGAAATATTTATTATATATTAATACGCTTACCAGCCTTAAATTAAGTAAGAGGCCGGGCAAACAGTCAATCACTTCTTTTATAGAAAATGTTTTTAAGTAATCTTCGTTATGTAGTTTAGTTACAGATTTATCAAAACCGATTTATTCCATCATTTTTATAATTTTTTAGAGCAATTAAACTGTAAAATTATTGGAACTAAATCTAAAAATCACAGTCAATTTGAAATTATGAAAATTTAAAAATTATGAATACTGAGTAAAAAAAACAATAAAGATTTCGATAAACCTTCCTAAAGGCAAAGTAAATTTAGTTACTGTTTTTTTACTACTTATGTTATCCAATTAAACTTTTTTCAATACGTAATATAAGTATCTTTTCTGAGAAGCAACACTGAATGTCAGGACCTAATATAGTCAAATGATCTACCCACATACCTAATACTTGACATCATATTAAGTATTACTGAACAATACCTAACAAGCATAAGTTATACACAACAATTTAATTATGTGACTAAAGAACTGAGTAAAATATATTTTTACAACAATGAAGTTATTATGCTTATAAACCAACTTGACTTACATCTCCATTAATAGTAGATAGTATCTTGTGTAATTTATATTTAAAAAATATATTTGTAAATTTTACCCTTTACTTAAAACTTGCATATAAATCTTATATTGACCATAGTAACTCTAAATATAAAATAAAATAAAATAAGATTTTTATCGATACATATAAAAGAGATTTCCACCTATATATTGACTCATCACGATATCTCTGGAACCATAAGGCGGTAGCGACTTGAAATTTGGTAGGATTATTCCTTTCGCCGAGTAGAGGTCAGATAAGAACGGATTTTACGAAATTCCACCCAATTAAATAACCCAAAGTAAATAACGAAAAATACGATTTTAATGAAATTTGGTACAGAGATAGAGTTGACCTTGAGAAAGAACATAGGATAGTTTTTTATTCCAGACTTTTGAAAAGTTCTCTTGGTAACGCGATATAACCGGACTCCATGCGGGCGAAGCTGCGGGCGGAAAGCTAGTGTAGTATAAAATTAATACTGCATTTTGGAATACTATTAGAAAGGTTTAGTATATATGAAGGATAAAAAGGTAATTGAATAGAAAACTAAAATAAGTCGTTTAATTATAGTAATATATTTTTCAGTGAAAACTTTTACGAAGTCGTGAGTCTTGTAAGTTTTGATTCAAAAAAATACTTATAAAACTGCTTCACAAAACTGATAAAATAAAAGATATGTAATTACTAAATTATAAATATTATAACTATAATATCATATATTTTGTTATTTATTTGAAATGTGTTATTGTGTTTCAAATAAAATATTTCTTTATTTCTCCCATATAAGATATCTAACGCTCCAAGTAGGGCTAGCAATGATAAAGTGTTAAGTTTCAATGTATGTGACTAGTTGCAAGGGATTATTTTAGAGACCATTACATACATTATCAACAAAACTATTATACATTTTTGAAGCTATTAACTATGAGCACAGCGACCGCTACCACGAGTGAACTCGAGCTCACGACAAGTCAGATCTAAACGAGTATGCTTATGATGGTAATATTTAAACTTGCTAAAAAATACCGCATAAATAAAAGAATTATATAATTATAATTTCATACTTTAATAAAATTTTCTATGCAATAGCTTTAGCGCGGCAGTCTGCGAGTGCTATAGGTATTAATATTTTTTATTCCTTTTTGTTATATAATTCAAACAAGCGTTGCCAGAGAAAAATAAAAGTTGACGTTGGTATAATTGTATAAAAAGTAGTCAAGTTGTGAGTTTCATAGTCGAGCGAGAGTTTACTGAAAATAATTTGTTCGTTCATAACATACTGAACAATATAAAGTATGAACAATATTTTATTTTAGTATTTTAATAATAAAAACTTACTAGACGAACTTCTCATGATTTCATGGATTCACGGTGCGGGTGCCGGGTCCTTGCTTGCTTGCGTCTTGCAGTTAGGACTGAGTGTCATTTCAGGGAGTAGGTATAGGAGTTCGGTGTATACGCTTAGGGATTCTATGAGTCGCATTGAATATATGATTGTTTTTTTGTAAAATTGGACTTATGTGAATTACGTACACTAGGCAGTAGGCACCATATACAAAAGTACATAGGAAATAAAAATATGCAATAAAAGAAAAGGCAGCACATCCCCAGTTTCAACCTTCGGCATTGTGTGTGATAGTAAGCAGTGCCTAGTCGGCATCATCAAAGGTCGGGTGCTGAACTCTCAAAGAAAATTTGCGGCTA